CCCAGCCAGGCGTGCAGCCCCCCGGGGCACCCGGCTGGCCAGGCCGAGGGGCACCCGGCTCCTCCGCGCTCTGCCGTGCCTCATGCCGAGCAAAGGTGCCCCAGTCCACACCGTAAAGCCTCCCGGCACCTCCCCAGGGAGCCTGCTCTCGCATGGGGGTGAAGGGAGGAGGATCGAACCTGCTTCATGGGAATGGCCCGCCCGCTGCCGATACTGTCCGCTTTACACTCCGGCACCTTCTTCTCCCGCTCTGGGTCTGCGCCCTTTCGAGACTGGAAGAGAAGAGACACAGGTCTGTTAGAGACGGGGCCGCAGGAGACAGGAACGCACGGCCCCACCATCATCCCCAGCGGGCTGCCAGACCAGACCAGACCAGACCACTCTCCCCCAGGCCAGGTCCCCCAGCGCATGGAGCAGCCAGTGTCTTGCCCGTCCCCTCTAGGGACACTCCAGCCCCAGCCTCCCCACCACCTGTCCCCCAGCAAGCTGTCCTCGCCCCCCACAACTGCAAGCAGAGCTGTCCTCCTAGCAGAACGGGGCTACCTCTGACCCCCCTCCCGCAGGGGCACAGAAGACATGGCGACAGACAGAAATGGCATGGGATGCAGGTGGAGCATGGATGGAAGCAGGAGAGGCTAAGGCAGTGAAGGAACTCAGACCTCTACTAATCCAACAGATTTATTCTGTTAACACACTTGCACCATACAAAGTAGCACAGGTCACCGGGCAGAGATACCAGCCCCTTACAAAAGAGCATGGACAATAAATATCTACCACACGTCTAGAGAGTTGAGAGCAAAACCCACCAGCCCCCGAGGGTGGCTGTGGTGAGAGCAAACTCCAATAAATACAATATGAAATATACAGTCTGTTGAGCAGAACTCATTCAAAGTGCTTAGGACAGAGGAAAATATCAAGTCATACACGGCATGGAGCACAATCAATACATTCAGAATCACAACAATGGCAGAAGGGCAGCGGCAGCGTCTCTCTGGAGCGTCCTACACACCCCCTCAGTCCGGGAGCGCCCCATGTGCTTTGGATCAGAAAGGGACACGAGCCCCACGCGCCTGGGACACCGATTCACTTGCTTTTGGGCCCAGAACAAAACAAAGAGATTGAAAGAGAAGAAAACTAAAGAGACATAGATGGCTGCTCTGCTGCGAGGAGGAAGAGGAGGAGGAGCAGGAGTCCATGCAGGCTGCAGGAGGTGCAGTAGGGAGGAAGGAGCTGAGTGCTAGCGGCAGGCGCTAACAGCAGCTCCCGCAGGCAGCAGCAAAGCGTCTTTTGGCCCATCCAGCTCCACTCGCTGCTGTCGCCCGGTCCCGGCGGGTCTGAAGGTCTTCCCATCCCATGAGGGTCGTCCGCCTGGCATCCCCGAGCATGGAAAGTGCCTAGACAGCATCCAGCAGGCCCAGAAATGTCCCAGCTTAAAGTGCAGGTGCAGGCCGTCTCAGCGCTTCCTAGACTTTACATTGGGGGGATTTAAAAGGCTCCTGCGTGTCTCCGAGGGGGGGACCCATGCTGGCTGGAGGGCGGGCGAGCCTCTAATCTTAGATCAATCCCAGTGCCCATCCCTTATCCGGCCCTGGAGAGGCAATGAAAAGTGAGAGAATTTGTACAGAGGTGCCGTGTGTAACCACCTGGATCTTCTAATTTGGAAGGAGTTGGAAAGGCCTTTTTGTTGATGAAAAGTTGGAAACAGTGGCACATATCTGCAAATATTGAAAGAATAAAGAGTTTGGCAAGTTATACTCAGAACATGGACACGAGTCTGTCAGTGATGGGCGCCAGGGACAGGCAGACAGACAGGCCAGGGAGCGAGGTGCCGGCGGCAGCAGCAGTCGGGGTTTGGGCTCCAGCTAGCGGGGACCGGGTGGGCGCCTCGGGCAGAGTCTGTCTCCACCTGGTGGTCTCCGGCACGGAGACCCCTGCCTCTGCGGCATGGGGTGCGACCCGGCGTGGGGAGCAGGAGGGGAGCGAGAGCCGGAGAGGAGGAGGAGGAGGAGGAGGAGGCGGAGGAGGAGAGGGGAGAGGAGGAGAAGGACTGGACACAAAGGAGCCAGGCACAGTTCGGGGCTGAACGGAGCACGGCCCTGCCCAGCATCGGACCTTGGAGAGGCCCGTGACCACCTGGGGGACCCTGCGAGGATGGGGGCTGCTGGCTACACCTGCACTGCCTGCCTGGGAAAAGCTAGCAGCAGAAAACCAGCCTTCCCCTTCCCTTCCCTTCCCTACCCTTCCCTTCCCTTCCCTTCCCTACTCTTCCTGGCCCTGTCCCACTGCGGGAGGAGGTGTCGGGAGCTGCTGCTGCTGCCACGACCAAATGGGGTGAAGACTTCAATGTGAGCCACGTATGTGCGCCAGCACAAGAGCAAGCAGGTGAGCGTGAGCCCCAGCACCGCGGCGAGTGAGCACGAGCCCGGATGAGCGCAGGTGAGCCCCACAGCGAGTGAGCAAGCTTGAGCCCAGAATGAGCGAGCAAGGGAGAGCCCTAGGCGGATGATAACGTCCACAGCAGATAAGCGTAAGCCCCACAGCAAGCTGCCCCCCTCCTCCCGCCGTGAGCGTGCGCCCACACCAAGTGAGCCGAGCACGGGGCTCCAGGAGGAGTGAGAGAGCGTGAACATGAGCTGACGGCGAGTCCAGCACCCGTCGGCGCGCAGGCGAGCAGAAGATGGGTGGCAGTGCATGAGCGCCCGCGTGCACTGGTGCACAGCAGCAAGCATGAGCAAAAGAAACGGCGGGGAGGGAGGAGAAGCATCCATCAGCACTGAAGTGCAACAGCGAGCGGGACCATCGACAACACAAGACCTACAGGGCATCTTCAGGGAGGCGTGAGCACACGGAGGAGGGGAGGGCGAGTCAGGAAACAACCATGCGTCAGGAGCGGTGGATCCGCTGCAAAGGGCGGCGTGTGCTGGGAGGAGGGGGCTGGCGGGCAGAGCCTACCCGCCAGGCAGCACGGGGAGCGGGGTGAGCACGTGCGCTGGGCAGGGACTGGGAACACGCGTGCACATGAGATGCAGACGGTGGGGAGCGCACGGAGTATTCCGGACATCAGAGCAGACGCTTCCGGGATGTCAGAAGCTGGGGGAGGTGGGTACACTCCCAGCACGAGGGGCTGGGGGAGTCTGGGATGCCAATAGTGCAGTGAGAGGGATGGGGCACGGGACACTGAACTGACGTGGCCGGGGTCCAGAGCAATGGCGGCTGTTCACACAGGGTAACATGGTGCAACACGTACAAGGACTTCGTGGTGGCCAGTTCCACAGACAGCAGACACGGGTGTACTGAGCAATGGTGGCTGGAAAGCACATTTAGATGGGGAGGAGGAGAGGCCTGAGCCCAGCACATTTACAGGTGCACCAGGGGCAGAGGGGCACACTTACAGGGGGAACAGAGGCTACCTACGCTAGACACGGGGACTAGCAGTACGTGTGTGCTAACAGCAAGGGGAAACTCCTGGGCTGGGCGAACAGTGAGGGTAAGTGTGTGGGCAGGACTGTGTGCATGCTGGGCGGACGGGTGTGTGTGCGGTGTGAGAGTGTGCTGAGAGGCAGGCTGCAACTCAACCGGCAGAGACAGTAGCTGCAAACGTACTCTGCACCACCTGGGGCCCACGGCTTTGCTGGCTCCCTCATCCACGCCCCACAGCAGCTCCCAGGCGCACTGCTCAAGTCACACAGACGCAGGGTTCGGCTACTGGAGCGAGTGGGGCCCAGTGCCACGCACTGGGCTCTGCACAGCACCACTGGGCACCAAACGGGAGGCCCAGTCACCAGGGGCTTCGTGCCACACTCGGGGGATGCGGCCCCGAGGAGAGGAACAGCAGAGGTCACTGGTGCTGTGCACGCACAAAGTGCAGCTCTCCCCAGTCGGGATCAGGGAGCTCTGCTCACGCACACGCACGATGCACGTGCACACGCGCGCACCCCAAGCACACGCCTATGTGTGCAAGGAAGGGCTGGCGCTCAGGCGCTCGCCCACGCGCGCACACACGCACAGAAGCAGCTCTCAGCACCACGGTCCCCACGCACGCAGCAGGCTCCCCTCCTCCCTCCCCGCTGCACACGCACACTCCTGCGGGGAACCCCCACGCACCCGCTCTGTGCCCCCGCCGCCCGCCCTCCCTGGCCAGCGCAGCAAGGGTCACCTAGAGACTAGTGCGCGGGAGCCTGTGGGGCGAGACTGCTGCGGAGCCGCTCCCTTGCCCTCTCCTTGCCTGACCCGCAGAAAACGCCTCCCAAAGCTCCTCCAACCCCAGCGCCACTTACCGTGAAGATGTTGGAGCGCCGCTTCGACTGCTTGCGGATGGGGGTGGGCGTGTTGGAGGCAGCAATGGTCTCAATCCGCAGCTCCCGCTGGCTGATGCTAGGTGTGGAGGGCACGGAGGAGGAGTAGTCACTGAAGGCTCCTCCACCGTTGGTGGCCTAGGGCAGAACGAGACAGGGCAGTCAGACAGACGGGCACGACCGTGGGAACACCTTCTGCCGATGCAGCCTCGCGCACCGGGGGCAAGGTTGCTCAGCACGGGGCTGGGACAGGGAGGACGTCCTACGCCATGCACTGCTCCGCTCCTGCCCAGCGGGGGACCTTGGGAAAGACGTTTCCCTTCTTTCTGCTCTTGTTTTTCCACTGGTTAAATGTTAAAATTCTGAAATCAACAGTGAAGAGCAGCGAATGGACAGCGCGACTTGACTGCTGACTGTCGGCCTTCCAGGCAAAGGTCTGGAGCAAAGGCATGGAGGCAGCAATGAACCACGCAGCCCCAAGAGCAGCGGCTGTCTGTCTTCTCAGAGGGGCACGGCTGGGGATACTTCAGTGTGCTCCTTCTCCAAAACCCAGGAATGGTGCAGCTCTCCCTCGGACAGAACCTTCCTCTCTGCAGAGGCCATCGGACACGAAGGTGTGAGGCAGCCCAGAGCCTGCCTGGCTCCAAGTCCCACTTGGTGCCTTCCCTGTCTCATGATGACAGCTACGGTATCAACGGGGATGCGTGCCCCTGTGACTCAAGTCTTCGCCTTTCCAGTGTCCTGAAGCACGGTGTGCCACGAGCCAAGCTCATGCTCTATGTAAAACGCATCTCTGCTGCTGGTTTAGAGGTTTATCCAAGCAGACCCACAGGCTGGCACACACCTCTTGTGCCTGTGGACCGCCGTGGCCCTGGCTGCAGTGGTCCATGTCTGGGAACACATGGAACAACATGCTGCATCTTCACTAACAACTCACTAGACTTGGGGGGGCAGGGAAGATCAAACCGTGCAGTTTGTGCAACCATCGCAGCAACACGTTTCTTTCGGACAAGTAGCTGCTCACTCCATTCTGCTCACGCAAGCTCTGCGGGCAACGACCTGGAAATGAGCCCACAAGAGGTCCCAAGGAGCAACACCTGCACAAAAGCATTTCAGATCTGCAGCCCAGGACATCTTACTACAACAAGGCACGTGGCAGCCTGAGCTCTCTTGGGCAGTTCTGCTGATCTTTGATCAGTATTTCAAACATACACTGAAGAGGCTGCCCTGAGAAGGCATGGGGAGCTCCGGCACCCCTCGCAGGGAGCAGCCCCCCTCCTCCCAGATCACACGCTCACAGAGCAGCGGCATCCCACGGCCTCGGCACTTCCTCCATTCCCACCTACTGCTTTGAGCAGAAAGTGCAAGCACATGGGGGACGAGGATCTGCCAGAGGTGCTCAGTGAGAAAACACCCGCGCACACACCATGCCCGGCAGGATCTGAGCCTTATTCTGAGACAAGCAGTTAAGAAACATCAGAAGCGTGAAAGAGGCTGTGCAGTAAGACCAGCGACCGCCACCCACAGCCCACTCTTCTTGAAAGGGTGCAGTTTTCTCTCAACCTATGGATTGTCTCACCTTTGATGAGAGAAACTGGAGAAGACGCACAAGACAGAACTGCTCTGAAGAGAGGAAAGAGCCTTCCAAGAAGCAGCTCAATCCTCTCTGAGGCAGAGCAAGGGCCTGACTGAGGGCAGCCAGCTGTCCCGCAGGGAAATCCTGCTCTGGAAGCACTCCAAGAGGCATGGACCTCCTTCACAGCCACGTCTGAGGAGCCGACAGCTGCATGCGGGGAGTTACCGCCCCTGCTTCCCAGGGCCACCCCAGGCTCCGGAGCAGCTCCATGGCAGCCTGCCTGCAGCACGGTGCTACCTGAAGCCAGAGCAAAACACCCTTCCAGAGCAGGGAGGTGAAGCCCGTGGGGAGGCACGCTGCCCTGACAAAACGTCCTCGAAGGCCACTGTCTCCAGGTGGGTCTGGAAGACCCGAACACCACGCTGGAGACAGGGCAGCAGCAAGCGACAGATCCTCTGCAGCCTGCCCAGCCCTGCTGACCGCTCAGCGCGGAAAGAAGCCTCACACCAAAAGGGACTCCTCGGGCTGAGCTCTTACCCGCCGCCAGCCTGGCGGCACGCGTGGCCCCAAGCGTGAAGCCAGAGGCTCTGCAGCTGCTCCGTGGTCTTCAGGAAAGCCTCGCTGCGAGCAGGCAGCCTCCCTGCCAGTATGGGACTCGGACTGTCCCAGGCCTCCTGGAGACAGGAAAGCCTCTGGCGCCCTGAAACACAGAGTGAGTAGGAACCTGGTCTGCTCGTACTTCTCCACGTGCAAGAGGCCGGGTGCTCCGTCCGGAGAAGTGAACATCGCCAGGGAGCTCTCCGCAGGCTGTCCAGCTGACGAACCCTGTGCTGAACGAGGGAGCTCTGCTGCCCCATCCCAGGGAAGGAGGGACCACCAGGGACATGGAGAAGCAAAGCAACATGCCACCCTGCCAGCAACTTCTGAACCTTTAACAGAGAGACCTCCTGCAAATCATGGATTCAGCACTGCGTGACGAAGCGTTCTGCAAATGCTGTGATGAAGGAACAGAGGCAGAAAGCTAGGGCTACCAAGTCAGACAATTTGCTGAGACAGCTCAAGTTTAGGATCAGGCATACAACGTGTGTACAATCAGCACTTAACTAATGCCTAATGTGTGAACCATGTCAAAAAAAGAAAAAGATTCAAAGTGTGAGGGAAGAGATGGCCAATGCTGCCACAGAGAGAATCTGCTACCCAGGAAGGTGAGCCAGGCAAGGCTGCCAGGAGTCCAGAAGCCACTCTGAGGCAGTCTCCTGGCTAAGCTCTGCACATTCAGTAACGTTGCCAGCACATTTATCAAGGTATGGCTGTGGGAACGACTCAGTTCAGAAGAGGCTGTAGAGTTCGAGCTCCTGCCACAGCACCTGGGACAAAACCTGTGGATGTTATTTGATGGGATGCTAAAGCTCCTAGGCAGAAATCTTGCTAAATTGTGGTTTGTATTTCACATGCTGCCTGTAACCTTTTTCATAATTTTTGCCTGGCCAGAATAACTTTCCTTAGCCCGTAAGTTTGCCTAGTGCTGCAGACAAGTCAAGGTTACCATCTTTCCTGAGTGACAAAGGACACAAGCATTCAAGTCTGCTGGCGCCCCACAGACACCCAAACCTCAGGAAAGGTACTGGGGCTGAAGGGTGTCTCGCGCCAAGGCACAACGGCAGGTGAGCGCTGGCACCATCCCGTGAGCTGGGGGGCAGAGGAGGAATTCCCGAAAAGGCCGACAGCAGAGCAGCCTCCAGGTGCACAGGCAATCCTGAGCCACCGCCCTGCTCAGCTGAAGCAGACTGCTCCAAGACTTCAGTAGGGACCCGGAACAAATCGCAGCGATGCAGGAGAACCCTGACAAGATGGCAGGTCTGGGCAAAACACCTTATTTTTGCTCCTGGCAGCTACTTCACCAACCCACCTGAACAACCACCTGTGGTTGCCATCGAACACAGTGGAAGCTGAAAACTTAGCAAAGCACATGTGGGACAAATCCTCCCCGTTAGGGTGTAATGTGTGAATATCGTGAACTTCAAAGAACATCGATAGCACCACAGGGTGCCTGAGCAGGGAAGAAAGGTGAAGTGAAGTGAAGATGCGGTAGCTCTTGGCACAAAAAGGTGTGAGGCGGAACAAGGAGTGAAATTTGCGAAGGGCTCTGAACAGAGCAGGGCAAACGAACAGCAGCCACCGACTCAGCGTCTGCACAGGAGCAGGGAAGAAGCCAGAGGAGTGCAGAGACCATGAAACGGAGGGCACGGCGGGCTGAGCAGGCTACGGGACACGGGCTTCCACCAGGAAACGCAAACGCCCACTGCTTCAGCTGCCGAGACACACGCGCTGACCGAACTCTGCCGAAACGTGCTGCGACAGGCAGCGGAGCGCTCGCTGCCGAGCACAGGGCAGCTGCCGTTTGTGTTTCATCTCACTTGCAAACTCTAATTTTCCACCTCTTTCATCCGCTCTCTTACTGAAGTCCCGGTAAATGCACTTCCCGGTGCCACCGAAGAGCCCGCGCAGGACAGGAGACCAAGGCCACCGGAGTGAAGCCGTGACACCGGGCTGCCCCGCGCCAGGAGGGTGCCGAGCAGGGATGGGCACGCCCCGGTAGCCGGGCAGCGCGGCGGGGCCCGGCCAGGGCTCCCAAGGACGCGCCGTTCACGCCAACAGCCCGCGCGGCTCGGTGGGCTGCGTTACCTCCTGCCAGCTGCTGGGAACCGGTGCCCTGGCAGAAAGACAAACTTCCACCCCACAGCCAACAGGCACCGGTGACTCATCCCACAGCCCGGAGTGCTCCTAAAGGCATCTCAGAGTGCCCAAAGAGATGGAGAAAGGGGTGGCAACAGTAAGGAAATCAGGTGGAATAACTCTGCAAGTACTGCAAGTACCCACTGGCCCGAGAAACTCCCACCCACAGCCTGCAGGCAAGGGACTGGCAGCTGCCAGAAGGGAGCAGGGTGGAAGTCAAGGCCAAGCCAAGGAATGGGGCTCCCAAACCCATCCAACCTGCTCGCCCAGTGACAGGTGCGGGCAGGACACAGGAGGGGGGAGCCCGAACCAGCAGGCAAGCAAGAGCTTTCCTTGGGGGCTGCAGGGTCCAGGGGGATCCGAGGTGTCTGTTTGAACGGACACAGGTCCGCATCCCGTGAGCTGCTGGGAAGGCCCAGACTGTCCTCGTGTCCCCAGGGCAGCACACGGGACTCTGGGACTGGCCATGGCTCCTGCTGCGCCAGGGCACCAGGGAGATGCTGAACACGGTTCTCAGGGTGACAGACCCGACAAGCACGTCTGGTGCCCTCGTGAGTGCTGGTGGAGAGCCCTGACCACAGCTGACCGGGTACTACAGCTCCCTTTCTCTCTGCCTTGATGGGAGCAGTGTCCTCTGAGGCACCAGGCACCGCTGCGGAATAAAAGCAAAAGAACCCCAAAACTCCCAAAGACAGAAGTGAAACCAGGGCCATTGGCTCGTTCAAGAACTGGTTCATAAAGCGGATCATCCACTGCACAAGGACACCAAAACACCTCACACAGCACCGCTGTCGCAGAGCCCTGTCAACCTGGGAACCTGCACAATCACCAAGGTTTGGAAACTGGCCACCACCTTGCAACCAGGAGAAGAAAGTCCCCCAGACAGATGGGTGACAAAATCACCACTATCTTCTGGGGTCTCTCCTCCCCTCAGTAATATCAATGGACCGGCCAGATTGTCAGGAGACCGGGCAAGCAGCAGCCATTTCCAAAAATGTTAGTTTGGCTCAACTAGGAGCATCAAACTACTTCCAGAAAAGATGTCCGCAGGACTAGGACGAGAGGCAGGGCTGGCTCCCAGCTGCTGCCCGCCGTAAGCAACCCTTCGTGGGGACCACTTGTTCCTGGGTACAGAAGACAAGCGCCGCCTTCACTGATAGCTCCAGAAGAGAGCTGTCCCTGTCCGCGTGGGCCAGGAGTCCAGGCACCGAGCAGAACATCCCTCTTGTCAGGGATGGCACCACCATCCCTCCAGGCACAAAGCTACGTAGGGAAGCAGATCTCAACCGTAGGTACTGGCAGAAGAGAAGAGGGACGCTGTTGCTAACAGCCCTCAGAAAGGCAGCCTGCTAAGGGGAATGTCAAAACGCTGTCTGAGATGCCATAACCGCCTGGAAGGGACAGAGCAGCGCTGCCACCACACGCAGCCAGCAGCTGCAGGCAGCACCCCTCCACACCCAAAACCAGGCCCTCCGGGGCCACAGCACTGTACAGGCTCCTGGGGGCTCCTCCTGGCCACGCACTCAAGATGCAAACGCCAGTCCTGCTGTTGCCACAACCAGTACTGAGAAGAAAAAGAGCTCCTTCTGTCCCAGGGCATGTCTTGCCTGCGGACACCAATGCCTAGCTGCGGTACAAGGCAAACAAGAGCTCCTAACCGTGTTCTTTGTCTGGCCTTTTTCCATCTCATCTCCATGTTAAATCCTGTGTTCCCAAACCCTTCCTTGAGATCCTTCCCCTGTGCCAGCTCCTGCTCTCTTACTTGTGAAGGCAACTGAGGAACCTTGGCGAGAGCCCCATACCCTCAGGTAGAGAAAGGCAGAACACGGCACTACTCCGCAAGTAAGACCTTGTCACTCTCTCCCTTGTCCTTCCTGACAGCGCACAGTCCGTCTGTCTCCTCCCAGAGCCGCGCCACCAGGTACCTCAGTGCCAGGAGCAGAGGACACCTCCTAGGAGTGAGGCCACCATCACCCACCCCACAAGAGGCTCCAGCACTTCTGCAGCCCAGACCTGGAGAGCAGGAGAGCAGCGCCCAGCAGGACTCCGCCCGGAGCTGTCGGCACCCAGCTCTCTCCTGCGCTGGGGACAGCTGCTCCAGCTCGTGCTGGAGATCCTGCCCTTCGGTGCGTCACCACCACAGTGTACTCCTGGGCTCTGATCCGGGCTCTTCTGCACCCCTGCTGCGGTAATGGCCCGGTCCCTGTGCTCGCTACTGGACGTGTGTCCTCCCGCGCGGGCGGCAAGCCCGTAGGCACCAGAGCACGCGGGCTGCTCTGCCCAGGTCCTTGTGAGAAACATCAGCAGTGAACTCGTGTTCCTCAAAGCCAGCTGGACTTTCTCTGAGGACAGTGGGAACCAGTCCCAGAACCTCATTCCTGAGCCCAAATGAGAACAGGGAAATACTTCACAGCATTTTACGATCACTCATCGGTTCCATTACGTCACACTCTATTTTTAGGAGAAGCGCTTTTTGTAATGGAGGAGAGATGTGTAAACACCGCAGCAAAGATGACTGCAGCAGGTCACTGGGAGCCAAAAGGGTTTGTGGTTCAGCCACTGAAGACCCAGGGAACAGAAATTAACTTTGATCCCCACTGCGGTGTCCAGGTTTGCTGAGCACAGGAGGGACTCAGCGTCAGAGAGGCACGGAGCACAGCCCGGGAGGGAGGACAGAGGGAGGAAGCTCCAGAAGGTCATGGCCTGTTGTTACAGCTGACACTGCTGCAACCCCGGCCATCAGTAAATATTTCTTGCTTAGAAAGGCCTCACAGTCAGCTGTGATGTCCCGTTAGCTGCACGCTGCATCACCCCCCTGTAACAGCTCTGGTTTCCCACCACAGCCCTTAGGCCCCTCCAGCAAAGCCCCAGGAGCACACCAAGGCACTGAGAGTGGAGCTCCCGCCCCAGAGCCAAGGAGCCACCATTCACCTCTACACAGACGTCACCAGCAAACCACACTGAAGGATGCTCTGCAGGAAGGGAAGGAAAGCAGGGGGGGGTTTTGAACAAAATCCTCTAACCAAGCTCATGACACACAGTTAGAAACCTCTTCCAGTGCCCAAACTTTGCTTCCCCATGGCCAGTCTCAAACCCAGCCCTTTTGTTCCAGCACCTTGTTTTCTTAAAAAGTTCTTTCCTTTCACAGCGGTGTATTTGAGAGGTCAGGTTTGGTCCATTGCAGCCTTCACTTTCCTCAGCTAAACGAGCCAAGTGCTTAACTCCCTCTCGTGTTAGGGTCTCTGTTCCCTCGCACTTGCTTTCTGCTGGTCCTACACCAGTTTCAACGCACACCTACACGAGCAGCTGGAATCAGACGGAGGAGCCTGGTCTCCCCCACCCCTCACACAGGGAGCACGCTTGCAGCTTCTCTACAAACACGTTGCCTGGCACAGCAAGTGCCGTTAGTACGTATTTGTTAGGACCCTTTTCTCATACTTTGGACACTAAAGCAAATATTAAACAAGCATTCAGCTCCTCCCTGAGGAATGCTGCCCTTGGCCGTCTCCACCCTGCTCCCCCTTTCAGTACAGACTGCCTCTCCTTCCCAGCCAGTCTCCGACTGTTCACAATTTGTCCGCTAATAAAATCCTCAAATTACCAGATACACTCAAACCTGCATCTTCCCTGGACTTTGCTCTCCGCCTTGGAAATGTCTCAGAGAGCACCCATATCCAGACATACTGCGGGGCAGGCACGGCTGTGGATGTTTCGCAAGCGGCTGTGCTCACTCTGCTGGTATCCCAAGCTCGCTGGACACAAACAAGCTCTGATCAGAAAGCCACGTAGCTTCATCGGGCAGCTCTGGATGTCAGCAAGGCTTAGCCTATTTGCTCGCACACAGAGACTTCATCTGAACTTGCTGGTGTCCAGGTGACCTCGAGCACCAGGAAGCTGGCACAGGTCTCTGCAAAAACCTCTCCACACCGACCCGCAGTCCAGCTTTAGAAGCCTATACAGTCAGATATAAATTTCATGTGGGTATTCAAAAGTTCTTTATGTAAGGGTCCAACGAGGGGCTGCAGACACCATGCAGGCTTGTACAGGAACACTCTCCCCTGTGGTGGGGTACCAGAGGTCCTCCCACGGCTTGAGAGGCTCAGATACACCCTCAGGATTACCCCCTTGTGAAAAAAAGCATCAGTCTGGTGGAATTTGTTTTGCTAAGCTCGCTTTGCATTTTCTTCAGTTCTACATGCTCCTCTGTGTCCTCAGCTACTCTTTTCCCCAAAAAACATTTCAAGCACTGCTCATGGCTGAGGCAGCTGGGGGGGCTCACAGCTGCTCCAGCTACGCTGTACCCCATCTTCCACCGGCCCAGCTGCTACACTGGCTGTTCCTCAGTCTGACAGCACTGTGACAGACAGACAGGTTTCCCAAATTCCTTGCTACAGATCCTGTGATTTCATACGCCAGTTGCTTCAGAGCTGGAATCTGTTGGCTTGACTGCCCTGAGGAGCAGCAGAGCCCAGTATCTCACCTTCCTCAACAGAGAGCCAGCTCAGCATTCCTGTGGGTGCTGGAAACTGCAGCAAAGCCCTAACACAGCTAGGCGGCTGCCCAAGGGATCTCTCCTTCACCAGCCACTCACTGTGGCAGCCTGCTTTGGTTTCTGACCTGCCCCTCCTGCATCAGTTCTGCTCCTCCAGAGGCACAGAACAAATACCTCCAGCTTCACCGTCCTCCCAGCACGGAGACCTTGGCAATCCCTGCCAAGCTAACGCTGTGCCAGAACAGCACAGAGCCCTTCCTCTGGCAGAGAGGAGGAGAACCTCCTCCTCTCCTGTGCTACTCCTTCAATTCACCACTGGATTTGCCCCTCCACAAATACATCCCCTGAGAAGCCCACCTCTGTATGCATGGGAGACCATCACAGAACCATCAAACAGTTTCGGTTGGAAGAGACCTTCAAGATCACCGAGTCCAACCTTTGTCCCAGCTCTACTAACACCACTAAACCATGTCCCTAAGTACAATATCTCTTAAACACCTCCAGGGATGGTGACTTCACCACCTCCCTGGGAAGCTGTTCCAATGCCTGACAACCCTTTCAGTAAAGAAACTCTTCCTAATATCCAGCCTGAACCTCCCCTGGTGCAGCTTAAGGCCATTTCCCCTTGTTCTGTCCCTTGCTACTAGGAGAACAAATCAGCTTCCAGGTGGAGCAGGACTGTGGGCAGCCGTGTCAGCGCAGGCTTGGCTGCGTGGCCAGGGCAGACCGAGGCCCCTTTCACAGAACCCCTCCTGCTCTGCCCAGGAGCTTCCCTGCAGACTGCTCACAGCTCTGCTGCCTGTGCCTGCAGGAGCACACCACAGCCACTGGAGATCAGGAGCCAGAGCCAACTGTGCAAACACGAAGCCTGACCTCAGGGCAAGCATCAAGCTGTTCTGGGCTACAGACAGAAGTGCCAGGGCTGACAACCGCTTCGCTCTTCCCAAAAGCTGCTGCGGAGCGAGGCTAAGGCTGGGCTAAACATGCTGTGTATTGAGTGAACTGAGGGGGGGTGGAGAAGCATGTGGGGTCCCTGCCTTTCCCCGTTCCCGTTTCCCACCTGGTTGATGTGAACAGAAGGAATGGAGGCCGCAGAGACAGACGAATGGCTGGGTGAATTGGGCAGGGACTTGCAGGGGCCGATGGAAAGCTGCTGTTTCTTCCGTAGAGCCACCACCTTCTGAGCCACTGGAAGAAGGGAGAAAGGGACAGGGTCAGAGTCCAGAAAGCAACTTTCTCCACCTGCGGATTTCTGGAGGGTTTCAGTGAGACCCAAACCCTTCCTCTGACCGATGCCAGTATCTGAGGATCAAACGGCGCCACCCTGCATTAACAGGGAGGATTTCTGCACAACGCTCACCTCGCAACCCCCACTGCCTGCCGTTGCCACGAAACCCAGCTGCCAGGGACGGCGTTTGCCCATGGCCATTCCGGCAGGCAGCAGGGCAGGCTTCCCAGGCGGGTCATGCTGAGTCCCCAAAGGCCACCTGCCTTCTTGGGTCTCACACAGAACAGTGACTTCACGGGGACACCAAGGAGGCACCCAGAGCCCTGGGCTGCTGCAGGAGAATGCTTGGACAGCCAGAGTCACTTCTTGGTCACCTCCTCACAGAAGCTACAGGAGCCAGTCACCAAACTGAATAGCCTGGGCAATGCCACCTCCATCAGTCTGGACCCTTGTGACCCTCATAGTCTCCCGATGTTAGAGAAACGAACGTGAGGAACAACTCTCCTGGTTCCTGTGACCTCACTGACTGACACCAACAGCCCAAAATTGCATTTCAGCCTTCCCGATCTCTTACCTTTTCTGGAAATAAACATCTTGACCAAAGAGCATGGCAGCAAACAAGCTGGGCTGTTGGGAAAGTCAGAACACAGTGCCATTCCTCATTTTCTCTTGCACACTGGTCGGGTACCCCACCATCACAGAAGGAGAAACCTTTCAGATGAAGGACTGAAGGCACTAGGAACATCACACGTCCAACCCAGCACGCCTCGTATCGCGCACCCTTCCAATAAAGGAGCCGCCACATTCCCTCTCCAGAAAGATACAAGATGTCGCACCACACACGTGGCATGTCTGAACCCATCTGGGTAAGTCAGATGCCGACAGCAACAGCAAAATCCTGCTGCCTCCCGGCTGCAGTGCCGTGTCCCACACAGGACAAAGGCCTGCTGGGCCACCGCTGCTCCCTGCTCGTCTGGTAAAGCTGGGAGCCTGTCCAGACTCTCCAGCTAAATATTCGTCCCATAAATAGCAGGAACCCCTCCGACGCCCACCAAACAGACCATACTAACCTCCTGTTTTATCGTGCTCTCCTCCCTCCATCCTATCCTCTGGCCAGCTTCATCCACTGTTCGCTGTGTGAACCATCTCTCCTTCAAACGCTGGCCAGGCATGTTGCGAGCTCAGGCACCCCAGGGGCCAGCAAAGATTCAGAAAAACTCCTCAGCAATTGCTGTCCTGGGCAAAGAGCCTGGCAGAGGCTCTGCCTTGTCACTCATCCTGCCCCATTAGCCGTAACAACGGAATTAATCGTGAGGCCAGCAAGACCACACTGAGGGTGATAAAATCTCACCAACCCTTAAGTGAGGCATCTTGAGGCGGCCTTCGTGTTTCTACTTGCCAGGCAGAGGTTCTTCCGCTTCTTGAACATCAGCCAGACCTTTTCAAGGGTAATTTCTGTCGCCTCTTAAGCCGGTCTCCGGGATCATTTGCTCATCACAATTTCTTTGGTGGCCACACGCAGCTCTGCAATGTACAACCCATCAGCCCTGCCCTGTCCACAGAACCTCCGTCCAGACACATCGCTTGGCATTTGTTTGCCAAACGTCACACGCGGTGCTGCTGTAGTAGCACCTGAGCATCACACGGTATTTTAAAGCACACCACAGCACGCTGTCCTAGATGTTCTGGAGAAATCTCTCTACAGACACTGCCAGGAATGGTGAGCTCTGGGAGGAGTACCTGGACAGAGAGGAGGTGCGTGTGAAGGTCCCCAGTGATGCACCAAGGACCCTACAGAAAACACCTTAGGATGGGGTGGCACCTTACGTAGTCATGGGGCCTCGTGCACCCCCTTGGACACAAACTTTTGGCCTCTCCATTGAAACGCTCCCGCCAAACCCTTCCTCAGAAGCATCACTCGCTGTCCTGGAAGACATGGCAATGCTGTTGATCATCCCGATGGCCAGGAACAAACTAACTCACACCCGATCACCCAAAGACGCAGGAATCGCTCTAGGTGTGGAAGAAGGGTCTCTGCTGCACCTGCCTGAGCAGAAAGGAGGGCACCACAATAGCTGGAGCCATCCAGTTCTTGGAGACCCTCTGAACTGTTGGTGAACGTGAAGATCTGAGGTTCTCCCTCTCAAAGCTTCCCCCACGCTCAGCAGCACCACGTGCAGACCGTGGGGCACTGGCAGAGACAGCAGCTTAGGAAGGAAGAGTGCTAGCCTCAGCTTTCAACTGGATATCAAGAGGTAAGATGGTCGGTCCCTCCAGCTGTCACGCTAGACCAGCATGACATTAACTTGCTGTCCAAAAGGTCAGTGATTGCTTGTTGTTAGACAAGACAGTGTCATGGAAGGGTTCTCCGGGAACAGAGGTGCAGCGTACGCTCTGCACAGCATGGAGAAGCAAGCCAACCTTTGCAACGGAAGCAAGGACCACAGCTTAGTGAATTCCTCCTGTTTCTGCTGTGGAAAACTGGCATCTTCCCCTGCCTGCGCGGGGCAGGTCTACCAGGACCCGGCCTGAGCAACTCGTGCTGGAGAAACCACGTAAAGACGAGGTCTGGCTGGTAACTGGATCGCCACGCGGGGCAAGCTCCTCGCACAACCCAGGACTGCCAGCACCCCAGCAGATCCCAAACCAGATGCATCAGGACCCACCAGTGGTCACTGGGAAGAGCCGCTTACCCACTCTGAAAACACCTCATCCCGTCAGGTCAGCTTCACTTGAAGCTGGATCCTGGAAGTCCCTGAACAGTTCTCAGATGCCTGTGGGGTCTGGGGCTGACCTGTGGGGCTCAGCTCTCCTCAGCTCCCGGCCAGCACCTCCTGCCCTTTTCCTTCCCTCCCGCAGCTCTGCTCAGGAGCGTCTGCGCGGTGCTGCGGCTGGGCAGGCAGGTGAGAGCGCCGAGCACCTGGGATTTGCTCCAGATCTCCGACGAGATGGCGGGTCCCTTTGTTTCATTCGCAGCTCCCATTATCACACAGCTTTCGCCAGAGCTCCGAGCAGCCCGCTCGGCAAGGGCGCTGGCAACACTGCCCCAGCAGGCGCGCGGCACCACGTGCGGAGGCAGCCTACTGCGGGAGACACAGCAGGGCACGGGGCACAGCGCAGGGCACGGCACGGGGCACAGCGCAGAGAGCTCCTGCGTATGGAGACTCCAAGGCCAGAGGGATCTCTCGGGCGGATACAACGGCTGACCTTGGCATACGCCAGCCGTGAAACGTCACCAGCCTACGCTGCACCAGCCGCCGGGGCATGTGGTGAGGCTCTTCCACAGAGGGACTTGGTCTGGATCGGGAGAAAGTACCAGAGATGCAGAATACAGCACTCCCCTATGCATTTTTTCCAACAGCTAATGAAAAGAGGGCTATTAATAAAACAAGTAATGAACCTTTAAAATATGAATTCGACTGGCTTTGGCTTCTAGCATGAACTCTCTGCTAGCCTGCAGAGCTGTAGTATCCGTGATTTTCTCTTCATGTAGACAGGTATGTAGATACTCTTATATTGTAATCAAGTCACCTCTCAATCTTTTTCATTTATTGAATGGATAAGCTATTTCGTGCTTCACTATCCTTTCTCCAGCCTTTCATTAATTTTTGTAGCATTTTTTTTTTTTAAATCTTCTCAATTTCTGAGTCCTTTTGAACTCCTGACACCTGAGTTTGACAACACTTCAGCAACGGTCCTGCTGCTGCCCTGGATGAAGGCAAGAATCTGTCCAGGCTTCCACTCCGTGCTCCCTGGCTACTCACCCAGGGACAGCATCAGCCCTCCTGGCAGGGCAGCCCACGCTCCTTGTTCTGTACAGCACCAGCATTTGCCCAGACTGACATTAGTTTTGTTTGAATCATCTCAGATTGCCATGCTTGTTGGGGTCTTCTGGATTTCTTCAGCCTCACTGCTCCTCACATGGACAAACCCACTCCCTTGCCTCCTTCCTGACCGCACACACGGGCTGGGAACAGACCCCGACGGAAGACGAAGCACTGAGCTTTGCAGGCGCTCACTCACGAGCAGCTCAGGGTCTCCCACCAAGTGTGCTGAGCCGCGCTGGTGCTACAAGCTGAGTCCTGGGCTCACGCGAGAGCTTCCATCTCACATCGCACTGCTCTAACTCACGTTGTCTATGCTCCCAGGGTCAATAAAGAGAAAAACCACCCCCAGAACACAGTTCAGATGAGAAGCAGCCTAACAAACAGCAGCACGTAATCCTACAGTGTCTTCCCCAGACCCATCGGCCGCTGTTCCTCATTGCACTGTCCTTCAGAGAAGGGACACAACAGAACCAATCTCAAGGAATAAGCTGAACAAATTTGGTGGCACACAGTGCCAAACGCTTTCCAGAAGCCAGGATCTGCTGTGCACAGCCCACCTGCTGCTGCTCTCTCCAGACTCGCTCTGCAAAACTCTGAGCTGGTTTAGAAGCTCCTCCCCTGACAGGTCTGCTGCAGTATTCACTATCCTCAACTATTCCCAGCTGCTCCTTCCCACCGCTCCTCCATTACTCACGAGGACGAGGAAGAAAGGGAGACTTACAAGCAACCTGCCCGACAGTCGCCCCCGTTTCCCCAGGAACACCAAACCAACGCAGAGGCTGCTGGATGCTGAGGGGTTTCCTGCCAGGGGCCGGGTGGGACAGTTTGGGTTGCACTCTGGGCTGACTTCTCCGACCATCTCAGAGGTGGGCCAGCCGCGGGAGAGGGGAACATCTCTACATGCTTCTGTGCAAGAAAAGCGCCACTGTGACTGTGATCCTCAGCCCCGCAACAGGCAATTACTGGAAGGTCGCAGACTTAGGCAGGGGAAGGAGGATCACCAGCTCCAGCTCAGAGGATGAAGGAGGCATGTGAGGGCGGTGACAGGCTCAGCCCTGCATCGTGCCCTCAGCGCATCTTGCTGTGCTGCAGTGAACCAAGCTGGATTTTTGCCCTCAGGCAGTCCTGCTGCACTACGATTTCCAAACTTTCTTCCACGTGCCTGTTCACTTGCAAACACAAACAGTGTGCTCTCTCCCCTTCCAAAAGCAGCTCTGTCCTGCCCAGCCACTCAGCTCTGCACAGACCCTTCCTCACGCACTGAACACAGATCCCCTGCTGCACTCCGCAAGACAAGGCAGAGAAAGGGGACAGGGCAAACGCAGTCCCGCTACAGGGCAGGGGCCTGGTTTGTTTAAGCAGGCAGCCAGCTCCTAGGACACAGTGTAGGTTCCCTCTATACCTGCAGCACCCGTCAGGCAGACCACTCTCCGAGTCTAAGCAGAAATGCTCTCCCACACACTGCTCCCAGGAGGAATAGCTGTCCCATCTGGCCGCTCAGTTGCTGCTCCCCTGCCTCTAACACCCAAAGGTCCTGCTGTGCTTCCTCTTCTCCTCCACGAACGGCAATCAAAACCCCCTCTGCAGCCTCACAAGTCTTCTGCAGGTTCATACAGACTGCTCTGCTGCACAGCCCCACCACGGGGATGCAACCACCCTCTGCAGCCTCTCTGCTCTCTGGAACACGTGGATACCCAGAGGCGAGCCCCCGCAGGGGGGGCCCCTGGGCAGGAGAAAGGCGCTGCCCAGCCCTGCTCTGTGGTCCCCCACGCACACCCACGTGCAGTTCACCTACGTGCCACACACGCGGGAATCCCTCCACACGCGCGGCACGTCCTGCTCCTTGGACCGTCTGCGCGTGTGAAGCACCGGCACTGCACAGGAACGAGTGCCTAACCCCCTCCTTGGCCTCACGCTGTCCTAACCGAGAGCCCCTGGCCTAGGTAGTGTAAGCCCCCTCTGTGGGACAGCACTGCTGCCCCGCCTCGCCTGGACACCCTCCACCGGCTGCAGTTACCGTCCTGGAAGACTCTCTCCACGTTCAGTCCGTAGGTGGCACAGGTCTCGTAGTACGTGCAGCGCTTCAAATCATTGGAGAGCTTCCGCGCGCGAGAATCGTCAATGACCCGGGGGTTCGTGGCGCTGATGGCATCTGGAAACCAGAGGGAGAGGAGGTTAAAAAGCAAGTGCCCGTGTCCCATCTATCCACAGGTCCCAGGGCACATCCTGGCCTCCCTCCCTCCCTTTACACACCGAGATACCTGTCTTCATAGCACACGCCCTCTCCTCTGCTATAGATAACCAAGTCCCATGTTTGCAGAAAAATGGATTTCTTAAACGAACCTTTTTTAAATGAACTAGTTTTTAAATGAACCTTATTCAACTCTCCTAACCATCCAGCCACCAATGCTTCTGAAGACAGAGGGCAGAAACCACTGGGAGGAGTGGCTGGCAAGGCAAGGTGGCCTCAGTTGCATAGCAAAATGGATTTGCCATTCCCAGTTGCTTTAGGTCTCACGGCCACACCCTATGCATTGAAGAATCAAAAGGGAGAAATCATCCTCAGTTAACTGGGAGTGATGGCTTTGCCAGGATGCACCCACAGCTGAGACCCTGGTGGACAACATTAAAAAATAGGCTTAACTTGTATCCCAGATCGCTGCTAAGTGCTTGCATGTTTTGGAAAAACCACCTTCCCAAGAGGACTCCGATTCCTTGAAGACGTGCCAGGGACAAGCAGGGGCTGTAAATGAACCCTTAGGAGGAGTCGAAGGAGTTCTGGGACTTGCTCTCCTCGAACTCCCCAGTGGGTTGCTTACTGCAACCGTACCAAGGCTGTGAGCTCACCCGGCTCCGAGTCTGGGACAACGATGACCACTGACCCCTCTGCCACTCTTCCCCACTCCTGAGCCTCCACAGCACGTGCCTGCAACCTCAGCCCACTCCTGAACCAAGATCACTCAGTCCTAAAATTAATTCCACAATCTTTAAATATCTGAAGTTTAACAACTTTGTTCTACTCTTAATCCAGGGTCCAGAGCAGAGACCCCTGAGACTCCCCTCCCACTGCCACCGCCTGCCTTCCCGGCCTCAAGCTTTCCTCCTCGCCAGGAATGGGTCACACTGCCCAGGAACTGGGTCCCGCCAAGATGTTTTTTCGTCGCATCCTTCGTCCCCTGGTCCCGCTCTCTGCTGTCACCCTCACACCCAGTCAGCTTCTGCGGCCCCAGGCTCCCTCCTGCCTGTGCCCTACCATCAACAGG